GGCGAGGCCTGCGCCGCTGAGGCCCGGTGGCCTCGGGCGGGCCCGGGTCAGAGCACGCGGCGGCCAGCCTCTCCCGGCCGTCCTGGGCCCGCCAGCCGTGGGTCACGGCTCCTTTCCGGCCATGCGCGCGCTGACGCTCTGGGTGGCCCAGGGGCCCATGAGAAAGCGATATATCGATGTTGACAATTAGAAAATCATGATGCCATACTAGTAGTAGTCGTAATATCCTTATAATTACTGTTACTATTCCTGCTAATATTAATTGCTGTTATTGTTCTTGTTCGTACTATTCTAGTTATACATGTGATTATTCTTCTTATCACTATTTTTGGTCAGTATTGATTTGGTGATCCCAGCCCGGCGGCCGCCGCCGCCGAGCGCCGCGCGGCGCGTTGGTCCGTGCGGAGGGCGGCTTGGCCGAGAGCCGCGAGCATTCACGGGACGTCGGGGTCTCCGCGGCAACGGCCGGGGGGCGCTGTCCCGCTGGGTGTTCCGTCGGAGTCCCGTCGGTGTCCCGTGGTGAGATCGATCGTGAGGTCGATGGTGAGATGGACCGAGGGATCGCTCGTGAAACCGATGAGGTCGATGGTGAGATCGATCGAATGAGGTCCATGGTGGTACCAGTACTGTGATCGATGGTGGGATCCATCGTGAGATCGATGGTGAGCTCGATCGAATGAGATATGAGATCGATTGCGAGATCGATCGATCGAGTAAGATCGATACTGAGTTCGATCGTGAGACCGATCGAGTGAGACGCTCGGGCGGTGGTTCCCCCGAACCTCCTTATCACCCGAAGGGTGATCGTATATAGGTATCAGATGATTACTCATATGTCTCTTTATATCCCTCATCTTGTTGTTTTGTTTCTCCCTCTCTCTCTCTCTTTACATATACATTTTTATATATATATACATATAGATTTCGATATGTATGTATGTATGTATGTATGTATGTATGTATGTATGTATGTACGTAGGTTGCTGCATGGTTTCAAGTATGTACGTATGCATGCATGTATGGATGCATGTATATTTGTACAGTTGTACAGGTGTGTATGTATGTGTGTTTGCATCTATGTGTATGTAAGTATGTATGTATGCATGTACGTAGGCAGATACGCATACATGTGTGTATGCATGCATTCATGTATGCGCGTGTGCATGTATATGAATGCGTGTATTTATGTATGTGTATGTATGCATATGAGTATGTATGTGTGTATGTATGTATGTATGTATGTATGTATGTATGTAAGCGTGCACGTATGCGTGTGTGTGTTTATGTATGTATGTATGTATGTATGTGTGTATGTATGTATGTGTGTATGTATGTATGTATGTATGTATGTATGTATGTATGTATCTAAGCGTGCACGTATGCGTGTATGCACTTATGCATATATGCATGTATGTATGTATGTATGTACGTACGTATGTATGCATGCATGTCTATATGTATGTATGTATGTATGTATGTATGTATGTATGTATGTGTGCATGTGTGTATGTATGTATGTATGTGTGTATGTATGACTGTATGTGTATGTGTATGTATGTTTGTATGCATGTATGCATGCATGCATGCATGCATGTAGGTGTGTAGTATGCATGCATGTCTGCATGTATGTATATATTTATATGTGGGCGTGCATGTATGCATGTATGCATGTATGTATGTATGTATGCATGCATGTATGTATGTGTGTATGTATATATGTATATATGCATGTATGTAAGTAAGTATGCATATATGTATGTATGTATGTACGTACGTACGTACGTACGTACGTACGTATATATGTATGTATGTATGTATGTATGTATGTATATGTATGTGTGTATGTATGTATGTATGTATGTATACATGTATGCATGTATGTATGTCTGTCTGTCTGTATGTATGTATGTATGTATGTATGTGTGTATATGTGTATGTGTATGTGTGTAACTGCGTTGTTGTATGCCTGCATGCATACATGTATGCATGCATGCATGTAAGTATGTAGATAGGTAGGTAGGAGTGTAGGCAGGAATGCACGCAGGCAGGTAGGTAGGTAGGTAGGTAGGTAGGTAGGTAGGTAGGTAGGTAGGTATGTGTGTATGTATCTACGTACGTCTATGTATATCGTTATGGCTCTCCCTCTCTTGTTTGTGTTGTGCTCTCTCTCCCCCTGTTCTCTTTCTCTTCATCGAGTGCTCTGTTTTTTGTCCGCTACGGTCGAGGCGGTGGAGGCGGATCACCCGGGCGACTGCCCCGAGCGGCCGCGCAGTGGCGAGAGGGGCGTTGGGGCCCCGGGGCGTCGTCTCCTGGCGGCCGGCAGGCCTGCCGTGCAGGCCCAAGGGCCCTCGGGGGGGCGGGGCCGGCCTTCGGGCGGCGGTTGGTGGAGGGGGAGCGAGAGGGACAGCGCAGTCCCGGAGATGCGGGCCTATTCCGCCGACTCTCTCTCTCTCTCTCTCTCTCCCTGTTGTGCATCGTGCTCTCCCTCTCTCTCTCTCTTTTGCTCTATGTGTCTCTCTCTCTCTCTCTCTCGTTCGTGCTGTTCCCCTCTCTCCGTGTCTCTCGCCCCCTCTCTCTCAATTTCTCCGCCTGGCCTTCCTTCTCCTCCCCCACCCGCCAGGCGGGCTCGTGATGATTGTACGCGCGCTGGGCGTTTTTTGTGCCCTCTTGTGCGCTGCCCAGCGCAGTGAATTGATGCGGGTCGTGCCGTTCACGCGGCTGCGTTATGACGAAGTAGTGGATTCGTGGATTCGAGCCGCCAACATTCGGGGAGTTGTTTTCTCGAACCCTTGGTCATGTGATTCTGGGCAGTACTGGTGGTCGGCTTCCGCTTGCTCGAAGCCTGGGACCTGGCAGAGCAAAGTGCTGCCGGAAGAGGCCGCCAGGCGCCAGGTGCAAAGGGCAAAGTGCATGCGGACGCCTGCCGAGAGGCGGTGCAGCGGGGGCAGGACGCACCGGCGGGGAGCGCGCTGCGGCGGCGGCCCAGGCGGCGTAGAGGGCGGAGAGGCGCCCTGCCTGGCCAGCGCGCGCGCCACAGCCGGGCGGAGCGGGCAGCCGCCCAGCCACGGGGCCAGCTGCCTGTTGGGCAGGGGCGGGGGGGCCAGCCGCAGGAGCGGCAGGGGCCCGGGAGGGGGCCGGGCGGGGGGGCCACCCAACGCGTGGACCCTTGGGGGTGGAGTGGAGTGGAGTGGACGCCATCACGAGGTGATATTACCAAAACTAAAGAGAACCGACCCCACTCAGAGGACGAAGTACAGGCGGAAGATGTAGAGGAGGAGCGAAATCCCCATCACCAGAGCTCTCACACACCTCGACCGACACGAGTGGCTGCACATTCGTAGAGCGACAGGCTAAGCTGGGATGAACTCGAATCAATATGGCCCAGAACGAACGCGGTGGCGTGGATATAACACCAAGCAGAAACAGTTACGGACTTTGTCGGGCAACCCCACCCATCTCGAGAGAATAGGGATTATCTCCTCCACAGCCAGCCTCGCCCACGACAGTAGCAAAACGTGCAAGGCATGAAACATTGAGATACATACCGCTGGAAGAATGGACGTGGAAACTGCACCCCCCATGTGAACCATAAGCACAATGCCTCTGCCGTGGCAAAAGGGTGCCGAAAGACACGAGGATGCAATAAACCTCCCAGACCACAACGTGTACAGAACTCACCACAAAATTGACGTAGTACGCCCAGGGGAAGGTGGAATAAAGGCCAATTTGAAAAGACACCACCCTCCCCTGGGACGGACCTTGATAAGGAAGTTCAGGACAAGGCGCAACTGGTCGAGGAACCCGTCGAAAACCGAGAGGACCCGATCAAGCACCTGTACGAGATTCCAGAACGAGTACCCGAAGCTGAAAATCTCGAAGCCCATGAAACACAATTTGACCTCCCTTCGTCAACCCTGCTTGAATACCAGTAAGCTAGATTCAACGCGAAGGTGTCCCTCAAGCGCCGCGAGAAGGCGGGAGGCAGAGGAATGGTGCCACATCCGAGAGCCCCAAGATGGTACTACGGCGCGCCGCTCCCCTGTGCTTGAGGCGTGGACCCTTGGGGGGGGGGGGGGGCGCGGAGGGCAGGGCCGCCATGGGGGGGGGGGGGCGGGGGGCGCCAGCGCGGAGCGCGCGAGCGCGAGCCAGGGCGCGCCCCGCGGCAGGGAGCACCCGGCTGGCGCAAGCGCGCAGGCACAAATAGGGCGCGCCCACCTCGGAGGGCGGGCGCCCCAGCCAGGGCCCGGGAGGAGCAGGCGGACGGGGGGCAACAGTGACCGCGCCGCCTTGGAGGGCACCCGCGCACCAGGGCACCTGATCGGTGCAAGCGCATCCCAGACCCCCTCGCATTGTGAACAAATCACGACGGGAGGCTTTTCGCTATCCTCGGCCTTCGGAGACCCTTCCTGGGCCTCGGGACTGCAAAAACGACCCAGTATG